GGTCAGAGGGAGACTCGGCAGCATCCATCCCACGTGGACGGAGAAGAGTAGCCAAAGGTGGAGGACACGCCTGAGCTGCCAGAAGCAGCTCCACTCAGTTTGGAGCAACGATTCTAGCATCATGGGGTGAGGGGGGGCTGCCACGGGCACAGGGGCTCCAGAAGCCAGCCAGGGGCGTGGAAATGCTTCCTGGTGTGAGCAAGTCACTCTGGTCCACTGTCTGGAAAAGTGAGTGTCCTAGTCGCCCTCAAATCCTTTGCCCCAAATTCCTCCTCCTTCTATGAAAAAGAATGAACATGATTCTCTTTCCAGGGAGTGGAATTTAAATATCCTCTCCTTTTAGAAACTGAGGAGCAAGAGCTGCTCTCTGAAAATGTAGGGGCTCGTGGAGGCGGCTCTGTGGATAGAAACAGCCCCAGGGTGAGAAGCTCAAACTGCAGGCGGGGGGATGCCCACCGGGCGGCCCTCACGGCCCAGCCACAGCTGACAGCAGCAGACGTGACCGGCTCCTCTGGTGGGCGTAGCTCAGTTGAGACCCAGGGTCTGCAGCTCCAGGTGACACACCGGCAGCCCCCCAGAGCCCCCTTAGTTGCCTGAGGAGTAACGATGCTGGGAGGTGGCAGCATGTGGCGCTGCGTTAGGTCACATATGACACATGCGTTGACTGTCAAGAGACCGAGGTTTTGCATCATCCCCGGGACCTCAGACACATCAGGGAGTGGCTGGGAAGATTCCTGAAAGCAAGGGTGCACCCTCTTTTATTAGAATAAATCCCCTTCAGCTGGAATTCACAGCTGTAATGGCAGGACTGGACACAGTGCAGGTTTTCTGATCCCATGCAGACCGGGTAAAGGAGGAGTCAGAGTCCTTGGTGGATTTTTGCAGGTCTTTTATTGGGGTTCACCAGGCATATGGCAGGCAGGGTTGCTGGTGGGCCGGGAGGCTGGCAGGTCTCCCAGCCCCCAGCAGGTCTTCACTCTGTGGGCTCTCTGGCCTTCTCTCGGCTTCTCCTTCGGCTTCTACTGCCGTCCCCGTGACGCCGCCCTTAAAAGCACAGTCTTAGCACAGGTGTACCCACTTCAGGTGCCCGCCATCAGGCATGCATTCAGGATCACAGGGTTCCCTCATCTATCCTGATGGCGGGAGGGCAGAAAAGCCTGATACCTTTTACCTTACCCTACAATAGCTCTGGGGTCTAAGCTCTCCCGGTGACTTGGTGTAAGGTCAGGAATGGACACGGTGCAGGTTTTCTGATCCCATGCAGACCGGGTAAAGGAGGAGTCAGAGTCCTCAGTGGTTTTTTTGCAGGTCTTTTATTGGGATTACCAGGTACATGGCAGGCAGGGGTGCTGGGGGGCTGGGAGGCGGGCAGGCCTCCCAGCCCCCAGCAAGTCTTCACTCTATCTGGGCTCTCCAGCCTTCTCGGCTTCTCTCTCAGCTTCTGCTACTTCTTTCTTGGCTTCTCTTTCGGCTTCTTCTGGCGTCCCCGTGACACCGCCCTTAAAAGGCACAGTTTTAGCCCAGGTGAATCCCATCTCCCTATGCCCACACCCTACTCCAGGTGCCGCCATCAGGCATGCGTTCAGGACAAGGATCCATCATCTAGCCTGATGGCGGGAGGGCAGAAAAGCCTGACATTTTTCCTTACCCTACACTTGGTCATAATGAGCACAGCCCCGCTGCAGGGCCCAGGCAAGAGCCGAACTGCCTGCGACCCCCAACGACCCATCACCGTGACTTTGCGGGGCCTGCTGCTGCCTCTGGGGCTGGGACACCTGGAGCCGCTTCTCCTGAGGCAGCTCCTGCCACCCGTACGGCATCAGGGCCCTGTGGCCCAGAGTCAGGGAGGTGCAGGTGAGGGGGGCGCGACCCAGACATGTTTCCACACCAGCTGCCGGGGAAGGGGCGTGGAGCTCAGGGTGGGTGTTAGCGACGAGGACGGACTCTGCACTGCGTCCCTCTCCCGGCACGAGGACCGCGGGTGACGAGAGGCAGAAACAGGCCACTCGAGGCAGGTTTTCAGATGCGCTGTTTGATGGGATCTGCCACTGCTGCAGCCGTCCTGGGTGGGCCAGCTGTGAGGAGCCTCGGGGAGCCCCGTCAGCACCCCACTGTGAGAGACAGGCCAGCTGCCCCCTGCTGCAGGAGAAGCCATCAAGAGTGTGACATGGGAGGGCAGATGATAGACCTTTGCCAAAAACAAGTCTCCACAAATTAATAAATGAGGCCCAAGTTTGCAAAACAGGAAGGCCAGCATGAGAGACCTTCTCTCAGTCAACATCCGGAGACGGGAAACATCGGGAACCAGAGAAACTGGAAGCAGTCGGGGGACTGAGATAACCAGCAGACGCTGACAAACGACGGGCACAGTGGGACAACACTAGAAAGACGCCTCTGCCTGGCGCCAGGAGACTCGGCGCTGGGCCTTCTAAACAGGGACAGGTGACGGCGCCGGAGAGAAGCCAAACGATCCTTCTGGTCAGCCCGACCCTGGGCATCTCGGGTGCACATTTGAGGCTCACCTCTACTGTGTCCACAGTTCTGGGCCTGTGGCAAGATGTTTAATGTTTCTTAAGTCACATAAATCCACCTTCAGTAAGGCGGGGGGGCAGGAAACAAGTTTTTTGTTTTAGCCAAAAAAAAGAAAATAATTCGGGATGTGAGGACAGTCGGAGGCTGAGGGAGCCGCCATCGCTGCTGAGGGCCGGGACCTGACAGGCAGACCCCAGTGTGTCCCCAGGTGAGGGGAGGGAGACAGCCCCGCACAGAGCAGGGCCCGGACCCCGCGCCCCGGGAGCTCCCGGGACAGTTTCTGAGAGGGAGGAAGAAAGGAGAGACCAAGCACGAGTCATCGCGTGAGGACGCCAGGTTTACATGAAAGCAAAAGCTGCCTGTCGGGCTGTCAGAGTCACAGGCTGAAGCAGGAAGGCGATTCCAGAGGAGGAGGAAACAGAACCCGCTGGGGAAGAAACAAAGGGGACGGGCCGCCCCGGTGGCGCAGCGGGTTGAGCGCAGCTCTGTGAAGCTGTCCGCAGCCTCCGCAGAGCGGGTTGGATTCCCGGCGGCCAGGGAGCTACCCACATGGCGCAGCAGACCCCTCCTGTCTCCCCGCTGCTCCCCTCAGCAGTGTTTTCCATTGTTCTGCTGTTCTACTCCCCTCTCTGTCTCTGGGGATTCTCTCGCCCTCCTGCGCCTCTGGCCTCTACCCCAGTTCTTGTATAAATAAATAAATAAATCTTTAAAAAAGTGAGAGATAATTTAAAAAAAAAAAAGAAAAGAAGGGGACCCTGGAACCCAGGGGGGATGGGGGGGCTCTGCACTCTGACCTGTTGTTTGACCCAATTTCACCCAGCCCCAAGGAACAGGGTGCTCAGGTGATTTCAGCTTCAGGTGACGCAGCCTCTTGAAAGACAAAACACCCTGCAGGGGCTGTGGGGCGCCACTTGGGCCGGCAGGGGTCGTTGTCATCGGGCCTCATGCTGTGTGTCCCCCGGGTCAGGAAGGGGTCACGCTGCCCCCCACAGGGAGGGCGGCCTGGGGAGGACGGTGAGCAGGACGTGCTGCGGGACCCACCTTGTTGTCACCTACAGGCTGAGCCATCCGGGGCTGCTCTGGGAAGGCGCTCAGGCCCCGGCTGTCTGGAGGCCACTCCACCCCCGGGGAGAGCAGGAGGGGACACCCCACGCCACGGGGAGGACGCAGCACCGCGGAGAAGGCCCCGCAGCCCGTGGCATGAACGGTTGCCGTGACAGCCGGACCGTGGGGGGATTTTGGGATTTTTCCGTCTTTGTAGTCAGGAAATTTTCATTTTCACAGTCAGGCTAATGTGGCCGCAGAAGCCGCTGTCCCCGAGGTGGGCCTCAGCGCAGGGGGAGGGAAGAGGGAGGGAGAGGGAGGGGGGAGCAGGCAGGGGCCTGGGGAGAGGCCGAGGCTGGAGGGAGGCCCAGAGAGAGCAGGCGACACCAGCTTCATGCAGGAGCCATCAGATGCTGAGCAAGGAGAGGCCTCTCCTGGACATGCGCCTCACCCTCTCGTCCGAGGACGTGGGGACCCCGGGGACCCCACCTGGCACAGGCGCACGGCACGCGGGTCGCCCTGCTCGGCCCTGCGGACACTCTGGGCGTGGGCTACTCTGCGCGGAGGCTCCCTGGGCAATGCAGACTGGCCGCCCCGGCCCGACCCGGGCCTCTACCCACGCCTGTGGGCCGCACCCTCCCTGTGGGGACAGCCCAACATGTCTCCAGGGTCGCCCTGTCCCTTGTGGGCAACATCGCCCCAGCTGGGGCCCATCCCCTGGCGCCAGGGCTGTCACACGGGACAGGAGGAGGAGCGGCCGCGGGCTGGTGGCCATGGTCAGACTCGCACTCTCCCGAGGGCTGATGCTCAACCCAGGGCCCCGGCCCGGACAGGGGCCCCAGTGAGGATGCCGCCCACACCCCGGGACGGGGCCGAAGGACACAAGGGCTGGGAACCCGAGGTGGGAGAAGCAAGAGAAAGTCCCGTTGAGTCATGACCTGTGACCCTCCCCCGGCACCTGGGCGCCCCGGGACAGTCAGCAGGAGAGAAAAGCAGGGTCATCGGGGAGGGGGGCGGTCATTAGCCCCGGTCAGCAGGAGGAAAAGCGACTGCGACACAAATAGGGGCCCAGAGGGGAACGGAGCCCCCTCGGCCACCTCTGGGGACTCCCCTGCCCAACGGCAGCTGTGAGTGGGGGGCAGCCACCCCCGTCTCAGGAGGGGGAGCTCAGCAGGTCTCAGATCCCTCGGGCATGAGGGTTCCGGTCCCCAACAGGGAGGGACTGAGCTGGACAGAAAGAGCCCAAGGGGAGGAGCTGAGGGGGGAGGCGGGCGGGGAGCACCAGCGGCAGCCGGGAGCGAGGCGGCGCCATGGCCGGGGTTCACCCAGAACCTTCCTCTTCTGGGCCCCCAGGGGGAGAGCCCAGTGCAGCCCGAGGGCCTCCCCCCACACACAGACGGAGACGCGGACCCGCCGGCTGGGGAGGCGCTCACGGAGAATTTGTCTTTATTATTTCATTCACCTGAATGTTTTTACCTACATTATGTTTAACATTATGGTAAAACATGACACTTGCCAGGATCTGTCGCAGTGAGGGTTGCGTAGAGAACAAGAGAACCAACGTGACCAGCTGTGTCTTCCACACGGGCTCATCTGGAAGGTTTACCTGTTTACCTGCCGCTTTCACAGATAAACCTCACGTGGGACCCGCCCTCATCACGTGCAAAGTGTTGACGCTGCCGCCCTCCACCCCACGGCTCCTGGAGAAGGTTCCAGCTCCTCATCACCCACCCGGCAGCTCTCAGCATCCTGTGCTCAGCTGTGGGTGGGGCCCACCTTGACCCTGTGTGTGGAGGAGCCCCCGGAGCCAGACAGAGGGGGTGAGGCCAGGGTGTCAATGCCCCCCGGCCTGTTAGACGGGAGGCGCCTCACTCCCCAGAGCGGGGAGTTTATTGTTCTTTGAGTTTCACCCTAATTCCCAGCTTCCGGGACTTTTTTTTTTAAGATTTATTTATTTATTTATACAAGAACTGGGGTACAGGCCAGATGCACGGGAGGGTGAGAGGATTCACCAGAGACAGAGCAGGGAGCAGAACAGGCAGACTGACTGAAATACACTGCTGAGGGGAGCAGCGGGCGAGACAGGACAGGTCTGCTGCGCCATGTGGGACCCTCACCCAGCCGGCCGGCATCAAACTGGCGCTGCGGAGGCTATGGACAGCTTCAAAGCTCAACCGCCTGCACCACCAGGGGAGGCCCAGCTTCCAGGATTTTAAAAGAGAGAAAAGCACAAAGGTGTTTTCAATGATCTGGTGGAAATCTAGAATTACATTAGAATTTTGGAACTTGGGCCTCCCTGGTGGCGCAAGGGGTTAAGACACAATCTATGAAGCTGTCCACAGCCACTGCAGCACCAGTTCGATTCCCAGCCAGGGAGAAACCCACATGATGCAACAGACCTCTCCTGTCTCCCCGCTGCTCCCCTCAGCAGCGTGCTTCAATCTGCCTGTTCTGTTCCCCACTCTGTCTCTGGTGAGTCCTCTCACCCTCCACACCTCTGGCCTGTACCCCAGCTCTTGTGTACATCAATAAATAAATCTTTTTTAAAAACTGAAATATAAAAAATTTCGGTAAGATTGTCTCACTGTGACAACCACCCATATTGGGGGCCCCGCTCTCGTGTGGCTGTTCCCTGACCTCAGCTACCTCCGCCTGGGCCCTGTCCGTCCTGACACCAGTCGACCCACACAGCTGATGCAAGCTGGTGGCTTGGAGCTGACCCACCACCAGCCTCATCTCTGAAGCCTCTCCGGAGGCTTGATTTTATTCCTTCTTCCCTCTCTGACCCCCTGCCATCTGGCGTGTTTTGCCTGAAGCATCATAGGTGAGAGACATTTGCTTCTCCAGCCCCAAGAGTCAAGGGCCCTCACCGAATCCCCATCCTCTGTCCCCTAGACTGTCTCTGATTTAAAGTGACCGCCAGGCATTCTGGAGGCTTGAGGTTTCCAGAAAGTCTTCCAGGATGGGAGCTTGGGCTTCTCCAGAGCCTTTTGAATGTTCCTGCTGACGCTCTCCCACTCATGCGGGTACCCCCCGTGGTCCCTCACCAGCGCGTTGGCCATGTTCAAAAGGCCTCTCACCTGGGTGTCCCCCGCTTGGCCAGTGTCCTTGTTGTTGAAAGCACACACCCGCCCCCCACACTTGTCCACAATCTTCCTGAGAGCTTCGTTGTCCGTGTTCCTGGTGTACTCCTCGATCGTCCCGTCCCCCAGGTCCTCCTTCCGGGTGAACAGCAGGATCATGTGACGTGTCACTTCCCCTCCGAAGATGGCCTCCAGACCCTGCAGGGCCTGTTCATCCCTCTGCGTGAACCGTCCCAGCTGGAGCACCAGCACCAGAATCTTCTTCCCGCCCTCGCAGCAGGTGAACCAGCGCTCGACCTCCCCCTGCAGCTGTCGGGGATCCCCCTGAGCCCCCAGCACCTGGTCCAGGGCCGGGGTGTCCACCACCACGACCTTCTGCCCTTCCCACAGCCGCGTGCCCTGCCGGCAGGTGGTGGTGACGGGCTGCGCGTGGAGCTGGGAGGGGAAGTCGGGCCGCCCGAGGATGCTGTTTCCCGTTGCGCTCTTGCCGGTCCCGCTGCGCCCCACCAGGAGGAGGCTCAGGGTTGCTGCGGGAGGAAAGGGGAGAGGTGGGTGAGGTGGGTGAGCCAGGCCTGCTGTTCCCGGGGATGCCGTGGCTTCCAGCAGGACGCGCAGAGGGCATGGCCCCAGCTGCTGCTCATCCAGAGCAGGAGGGCTCGTCCCTGGCCCGGGCCTGGCTTGGTCTCTCCTGGGCTCGTGCACAGACGCGCCACCGCCCCTGTCTCTGGCCCTGCCCGGCCCCTCCCTGGTCCCTCACCGACTCCTGTGAGAACCACCGGCTTCTCGCCTCCTCCTGACTCTGCCGCCCCGTCTCACCCCCTCGCCTTCCCTGCCGCCACCACGTCTCCCTGTCGCCAGCTGCCCAGGACAGCAAAGCGGCTGGCCCTGGGAGTTACTGCGCAGGCCGGGAGACCGGGGAGAGCCAGACACCCGCGGCCGGGTCACCACCCCCGGAGCAGGCCCTGCCGAAAGCCCCTCCCGGAGGCCACACTGAACAGAAGCGAGTCACGGGCGCTCCGGGACTACAACAAGGGGCACAGCTGGCACCTGTGTGGGTTCACACTGTGGAGTCCCCTGTAAAGGGCATTTCAGAGGCACGGAGCTCTCACAACATGGTTGTTGGGGTCCCTCAGGCCTTGGCACGTCTGCTCTGGCCTCTCTCTCCGTTCAGTCTCTTCTGTGATGAGAATCTCGATCATGAATCTTCCCCAAGTTACTGTTCCCGTCTCCACTCTGGGAGGAAAGCCCGTCGGGCTCTTCCCTGAAGGGACATCGGTGACCGGCTCCCCTGAAGGCATCTCCGGACTCAGGCTGACAGGTCACAGAGCCGGCTGACCACCACATGCCACACATCTCAGCGGCGGCCTCCGTCCCTCCCGAGGGTGCTGTTCTCAAGCTCCCTGGGGCCTGGTCTGACCCGCAGCCCCCGTTACCTGGAGGCGTGACCCCCCACCTTCTCCAGACCAGCCCTGTTGCTCCCCCCTGCCCCAGGGGCAGGCTCAGTCCTACCCAGCTTTCAGCGGCAGGTACTTTCTAGAAGTCCAAACTCTATGCATTGTCCAGGCCTATTTCCACCCGGGCTATGTCCACTCAGCCCCACCGGCTTCCCACGTGGACACATGTCCGTAAGAGGCGCCCTGCCCGCCCCCCATGCACACTGTGCAAGAGCTTCATACACACCTGCCCCCCGGCCTCGACAGTCTCCCCTGCGGGATACTGGGAACAGGAGGGACCGGGTGGGCGAGGCTGGGCGGGAGCCTCTCGGCGGGGGCACGAGGACAAGCAGCACACGGGGCTGGGCACTTGCGCTTAGGCAGTGACTGGCGACCACTCCATCTAAAGCCCCCCGGGCCCCCATGGGGGGGCTCAGCTCCGGCCCTTGTCCCATCAGTACGGCCCCCTCCAGCAGAGAAGAGAGGAGAGAAACACGAGAATGACAGAGTCAGGAGAGGGCGAGAGACACCGTGGGGGAAACAGGAGATGGGAAAGGTCCCCTCCAGATGACGGAAGCACCTACACGTGGGGGAGCAGGAGTGGGTGGCGGGAAGCACCACCCTGGGGCTCCCCGGGGTCCTCGGCTGTGCTCACAGTGGGAATGCTGCTGGACAGCAAGTGCCAAAGCACTGATTTGAAAATTAATGGCCCCAAATATCAGTGCTTTCGGGGTCGCTGCAAATTAGGAGGAAATTTTAGGGCACCTAGCCCTGGACCCGAAGAGTCTCCGTGTGGTCAGGAGGAGGCTGGATATCGAGAAGGCGCTCTCTGGCCATTCCTCAGTGACGACCGGGTGCTGGCCTCTAACAGGGGTTTAGAATTTTTAACCCATTTGGCCATAGAACTGAATGTCGCCCCTGCAGGTGGTGATCGCGCGCACCCTGCAGCCTCTGCGAGTCCCCACGCCAAGGGACCGCAAGGAAAACTTGAGAAGATGAATAAAAAGTCAGCTGGAGACTCGCGCCACCCAGGAGGGATGGGCATGAAGGGAAGGACTCGGGACCCGGTGTCGGGGCGCCCCGGAGGGCACGGAGCCGTGGGAAACCCCGGGCAGGAGAGAGAAAACCCTGGAAAGTTCCCCACAGGACCCCTCCCGTCCTCGCCAGCCTCTCCTTGCCCCCCGGGACAGGAAGGGCTCCGGGGCCTACCCCCCGCGAGCCTGTCCCGGGGCTCACCTTCCCCCGTGAAGGTGCAAGGCCGGCCTTGGTGCTGCGCCACCGAGTCCAGGATGCGCCCCAGGACCTCGTCCACCTGGCGCTCCTCGGCCGCGCCCGCGGCTCTGCAGTCGGAGACAACCCAGCGGCCACTACACTTGTCGAGGAGCGCGTGGAGCGCTCGGCCTGCGGTCTCCAAGACGGTGGCTGCGTCCTGCGGCCCGAGGTCCTCTCCCCTGGTGAAGAGGACGGTCATGTGCTCCGTGACCTCGTCCCCAAAGCAGCGCTGGAGGGCCGCGAGCACCGCCTCGTCGCGCCGGGAGAAGGAGCCCAGCGGGGTCACCAGCAGGACGGCGTGGGGGCCCTCGGAGGCGAGCCCCAGCAGCTGCGACTTGATGTCCGGGCAGGAGGAGACGTCTGGGGTGTCGATGATCAGGAGTTTCCTGCCTCCCCAGACCCTGCTCGCGGCCTCACAGCTCCGGGTCACGGGCTCGTAGCTCAGCCTGGCCGGGAAGGCGTGCCTGCGCAGAAGGCGGTTCCCCGCCGCGCTCTTCCCCGCGCCCCGCTTGCCCACGAGCAGCACCCTCAGCTCCGGCGGCTCGGCGCCCGGCTCGCCTCCCGCGGCCTGCAGCCCTGAGGACACAAGGACGGGCTCAGAGTCTGTCCCTGCGCGGGACCCTGGAGACGAGGACGGGGTTATGATTCCCAGTGGACCCCGCGGAAGGACCGTGCGGGCCAAGCCTCGAGATTGCCCAGGAACGCGAGAATGTGTGCCTTGGCCTTCACCCTTCTCAGGGCCCCTCTCCCTGGCTGCCAGAGGGGACCCGAGGGCGGACGTCCATGGCTAGACGGGCCAGGGTGAGTCTGGGCTCACGGTGCTCGCGGTGGCTGCTCAGGCGGCAGCTGCTACACAGCGAGTCAGGACAAAGCGTCAGCTGCAACTTGCAACTCGGTGGGTCTGGAAAACTCGCGAGTGAAGGAACCAGACGCAAGTGCACACCTGGGCTCCTCACGTGGGGGTCACCAGCCAGTGCAGCATCTACAGGGAGGGGAGTCTGGAGAGAGGGCTCCCTGGGGAGGGCCAGCGGGACCCCCAGGGCTGGAAATGCCACGTCTGGAAATTCTACAGTCCCAAATGTAGACTTATCAGGGTCCTGGCGCCACAGGGTCACAGTGTCCACATCTCACCCCTGTGTGTCACCTCCAGGTGACCGTGCAAACCACACTATGGACCGTCCCCCACCCACCCAGGACATAATGTCAGTTGCAATTATTATAACTTTAATTTTAATCATTATTCTGGAATATTCCATGTGATAGAGACCTCATCTGTCTTATTAGATGCTGATTCACTTTTGGCTCAGAGCTGGCCCAGACCAGCCTGCAGGCTCCTCAGGAAAGGATGCCTGCGCTAGCTGCGTGTGCTCCTCCTATGGACCGAATCACACTCCCTAAAACCCCTAAACAGGAGGAAGGCCATGCCACACTATGCCATGGGGGGCTGTATCCTTACTAGCACCCCTCACCTGGAGACTCCTAGCCCAGGGCTCTCCCTGGAGGGGTGACCACAGCTTTCCCCACAGGAGGCCAAACCTGGGTGGTCCTGGGACCAGGTTCAGGAAGAGGCTCAGTCAGGAAAGAAACCATGAAAGGCAGCTCCAGCTCCATGACACCCACCCCAGGACCTTTGCCTGTGCTGCCCCTACGATGTGGGAGGCATTTCCTGGGGGACAGGCTGTGGCAGGGCCTCAGCCAGGTCTTGGGGTGCAGCTTTGTTCTGACTTATCAAGCTCATTTTCCCACCTCACTTCGATGCAGGTGCAAGAATACAGAATGTGAGCCTAACATAGAAAGGATCTTCCTACCGTGCGGACTGTCTCCTTTCTGGGGTGCAGGTTCAGCCACAGGATCCTAGAAGTGAAGGGAGAGAATGAGCCTCACAGATACGGGTGCACCACAGGGGGGACAGGATGAGGCCTCCAGGCCTTGGCCATGTCTTCAATGGCCCTTGTAGACCTGTCCAGAATCAGTGCTATCACCCCACTGCTGCTTTGGGGGACCCCCCAGAAGTGAGAAGGACCTTGTTCTCAGACCACAGAGGGACCCCACATGTGCTGTCAATGCAAGGCATTTTTCCTGAAGCTTCTCTAACTGTACTCCTACCGTTACGGCAATTCCTTGGAGAAACAGGCAGCACTCAGAGAGGTGGAGAGGGGAGATTTTGTCGTCTCCCCTGTGGGCTCAGTGGGAGGCTCCCAAAAGACTGCCCTGAATAGCAGGAATGGTAAAGTTTTATAGTTTTTGTGCGGAAGCTGTCTATGCTTGAGGGACAGCTGGCAGCATGGGATATGTGGAAGCTTTTCCAGTTTGAATTTATCAGGAACTTTTCAGAGCACCAGAAGGGCATCATGGTGACAGCGACCATCTCCATGGCCAGAGTTCTGAGAGCTTCTGGACTCCCTGGAAGGAGAAGCTGACGTCTGTGGACCTCAACTCAGTCACGTTAGGACACTGTTGGCCACGGGGGAGCTCTAACACATACCAACATGGGGTCACCCCAGGAGAGAGTGTGGGGCCTTGGGGCTGAGCTAGAACAAGCCCCAAGAGGCCAAGGTCCAGAGGGTGTTAGAGGGGCCCTGACTTTCTAGGGCAGCCAGAAAGAGGGAGAGAAACAAGAAGAGGCCATTTCACTGACCCAGAGAAAGAGAGGGTGGAGCCCATCCATGCGCTGCCAGGAGGGTATGAGAGAAGGACTCAGCTGCATCCATGAATTAAAGGGTGACACAAGAGCCTGCCATCTGCCCCCCATGGTGGTGCGTGTCCCCTCCAGGATGCACCTGCACAGCACACAGTGCCCACTGCCTCCGCTTCTGCCCCCTCTGGCCACTGCGAGTGGGGCAGAGGCCTGGGAGGCCTGACGGTCCTCACCTGGGGTCCACTGCAGGCGGTGCTGACCTTCAGGCAACAAGGGTCCGCACTGTCGTCCACCAAGCTCAGGAGCTCCCGCAGCTGGCTGGCCCGCTCCTCCTCGCCGCCCTTGTTGTTGAAGGCACAGTACCGGCGGCCGCAGCCTCTAACCAGCTCTCTGAGACCGTCGGGGGCGTCAAGCTCTGCGTACTCTTTCAGGGAGGCCTCCCCCAGCTCGTCCTTGCGCGTGAAGACCACCAGGGCGCGCTCCCTGACCTCCGCCCCAAACGCCTCCCAGATGCCCTGCGCCGTCTCCGCGTCCTCGGCCGTGAAGTGGCCGATGGGGATGACCAGCAGCAGCGCGTGGACGCTGCCCGCACAGAGTTCCACGCAGCGCTCCAGGTGGCCGCGCCGGTCTTGGGGGTCCCACAGCGGGGAGAACAGGGCCGGGGTGTCGATGACCGCCAGCCGCCTCCCTCCCGCGGCCCCGCTCTCGCGCTGGCACGCCCGGGTCACCGCCTGCCGCGCGCTGAACTTGGCCATGAACACGGCCTTGCCCAGAAGGCTGTTTCCCGTGGCGCTTTTCCCCGCGCCGCGTTTCCCCAGGAGCAGCAGCCTCAGCTCCGGCGGGGCGGCCCCCGGCTCCGGGCCGCGCTCAGGGCTTGCGCTGTCAGGGCTCCCACTCTCGGGACTTGGGGTGCTCTGGCTGGTGCTGCGGGAACAAGAGCAGTGTGTGAGTGCTGGGAACGCCCCGTCTTCTCTGTCTTTTCTTTTTTTAAAGATTTATTTATTTATGCATACAAGAGCTGGGGCACAGGCCAGAGATGCAGGGGGAGAGAGGATCCACCGGAGACAGAGCAGGGAACAAAACAGGCAGATTGACCAAAATCCACTGCTGAGGGGAGCAGCGGGCAAGACAGGGGAGGTCGGCCGCACCATGTGGGTAGCTCCCTGGCCTGCCCGGGATCGAAATAATGCTGCAGAGGCTGCAGATTGCTTCATGGTGCTGGTGCTTAACCCCTTGCGCCACCAGGGAGGCCCTTCTCTGTCTTATCTGTGGCTTGCAGCCCAAGATGCCTTCCAACTTTCAACGTTGAAAGAAATATCATAACTAAGATACGATGGTCATTAAGATAATGGTCAGACTTTTTTATTAATGATTTTTTTAATTGTTGTATAGAACTGGGTGTAGGCCAGAGATGCAAGAGAGAGAGGACTCACCAGAGACAGAGTGGGGAACAGAACAGGCAAATCTACTGAAACACACTGCTGAAGGGAGCAGCGGTGAGACAGGAGAGGTCTGCTGTGCCGTGTGGGTATCTCCCTGGCCGGGGATCTGAGTGGAGCCTTAGCCGGGATACAGCTGAGACTTAATTAATCCCTTGGTCATCAGGTTGGCCCTGGTCAGACTTTTTAAATAGAGATTTCTGGGCCCAGCCCACACCTGCCCAATCAGAACCTCAAAGGGAGGCGCCTAGAAATTGTTTTTTACCCAAGTAGCTGTCATGGTTGGACAAATTTGGGAAATATTATCTTATAAAGCGCAAAACTGGGAATCTACATCTGTGCAGCTGTGTACAGGAAACCCTGAGATACTGTCTCAGGAGCAAAATAAAATGTGTTCCTCTCCCCAGAGCTGGCTGCACCTCACACCTCCGCCCGCCTTTAGACGCTCAACTTTCAGAGCTTCTGGGCCACAGACTAGACTGAGATGCCTCACCTGGAGGCTCCACGGCACCTGTGGGAGCACAGCCCAGTTTATGAAACCCTCACAAGGTGCCCCCTTTGACAGGCAGCCCTCCAGGCTCCAGGGAAGTGGAAAATCCCCAGGTCAGTGCCCACCATCTGCCGGTCTCTCCCCCCAGCCCCAGGATCCTTCTCGTCCCCTGACTAAGAGACTAACAACAAGGACACAAGGGAGCTGCCAGGTGACCCCGAGACACCTCTCCGTTAAATAAACACTGGATAGTCTCACGTGCTTGCACTTCAAAGCATGGTTCACAGACCAGAGATGTTGCCAGCAACCGAGGCTGTGTGAGAAATGCAGAGTCTCAGGCCCTGCCAGACCTGCTGAGTCAGCGTCTGTAGTTTACAAGTTCCAGGAGATTCTCCTGAATGTTGAAGGCGGAGAAGCGCTGGTGGGCGACACCTTTAGCTAAAAACTGGGTCCTCACTGGCTCAGCCACACAAGAGCCCAAGTCTCCAGCACCACTGACCCCCAGGCCCTCCCCCCAGCTCCGCCTGACCTGGTGCCCACATCGCCGTGTGCCCATCTGACTCAGTCTGCTCCCGAAGCACAGTCCCCGCACACCAACACCAGCACGGCTCGGTTACTGCACTTGAAAATCCGATGGCGTTATCCGAGCAAGCAGGCCCCGGCTCTGGGCCAGCCTTGTCATCACGGCTGCTTGACCTTCTCTGGGACTTTCACAATCCGTCACTTTCCCTAGGAAATCCCCCACAGAGCCTGTGGGGCCTGGGGAGGGGGCCTGGGGAGGGGCCTGTGGGGCCTGGGGAGGGGGCTGACAGAGAAGGGAGCAGCTGAAGAAAGGGGGGTGAGCAGCTCTGGCCAGCGTGGCCCTGGAGCAGAGCAGGGGAGCGCGGGTCTGAGGAGAGAGAATTTATCTTCCCAGTAAGCGAGGCTGCTCCACGTGGTCCCCATCACAGTGGCCCCAAAGGAAAGAGTCTTTGCTGAACCCCTTGCCGCCCACGACGCCGTATTGAATGAGCCTCCCACCCGCCCACACTCACAATCGCCCACGGACCATCTTCTCCCAGGCATGGAGCAAAAACTTTTTAAGGCCCAAAGGGAACCCAAATGCCCCTTCCCTCCCTCTCTCCTTGACACCCCCAGGCCCCTCTGACGCGTCCTTGGTCACCCCAGAGACACGGCAGAGGGACAGAGAGAGATTTCTCTGCAGACGCGGGTGGAGACTCCACAGGCAGCCTCCACGCGTGTGTGCGCTCGCTAGCTCTCTCTCCCTCTCCCCCTCTCTCTCTCTGCCCCGCCTGGGGAGGTTCACCCCTGCCCAGCAGGGGAGGCGGCAGCAGCGAGAGGGGACAGTGAGCGCGGAGCGCCCAGGGGGCCGGGTCGGGGTAAAGGAGGCTTGACTTGGCAAATACCCAGCACCTGCGCCCGGTTGGGGGACCCCAGTTGGGAAGGCAGGGACTGTCAGGAACGGGGTGTTGGAAATCAACCTCAAGAGGCCAGTCCCTGCCCCCTTCTTACTGCTCCCTCCCCCTCTCCCCCCAGCACACCAGGCCCAGTGACTCCCCTGAGCCCCCCTCGCTGCCCCAGGACCCTCTGGCGCAGGGCTCCGGGCCGGAGCCGACCCCTCCTGCCCGTCCACACCTCCTCTCGCAGCCCGGGAGGGGGTCGCGCCCTCCAGACACGCCGGCCGGGCAGTCTGCTGGCGGGGCTCCCCAGGGCTGTGCGCCCTGCACCCCACCTCAGACCTGCCGCCCCAGCGGGGCGCCCCGCCACGCCCCAGAGTCCAGCCCTGCAGGGGGCCAAGCCCCCCCCCCCAGGGCTGGCCGTACCTGGGAGCGGGCGCCCGGGCTGTGGCGGCCGCAGTGTCCCCGCGGGGCCCCGGCTCCCCGGGCTCCATGGCGCGCGGAGGGAGCGGGAGGCGGCGGGATGGCTCCGGCGGGCCGTCTGCGCGGGAAGAGGCTCCGAGGCGTTGCGGCGACGACGGCGGCTCCGAGGCCCTGGGGGGAGCTGGCGGGGGGCAGCTCCGGGAGCGCCGGCCCGGGGGGCGCTGGTGGAGACGCGCAGCCCTTCCGCGGGAGCCGCCGCCCCTCTGGGGTTCAGCCCGCCCCGCCCGGCTGCGGCTGCTGACGAGGACGGTGGGCGGGGGCGGAAGCCGGGGAGCCTGGAGGGCCGAGGTCCCGAGGGCTTGGGGCTGGGAGGATGGAATGGGGGGCTAGGGAGCCCTGGGGGCTTAGGGGCTTGGGGCTACACCTTGGTGGGAAAATTGACAAAGCCGCTCCCATCCCCCACTCTAGTGGCCATCCCCCCAAAAGGCTGAACTCCAGGAAGAATCCTGACCCACCCGCCTTGGGCACTAGGTCCAGTCACATCAAATCTTTTTTTTTTTTAGATTTATTTATTTATGCATACAAATGCTGGGGTGTAGACCAGAGGTGCGGGAGGGGAGAGGATTCACCAGAGAGAGTGGGGAACAGAACAGGCAGATCCACTGAAATCCACTGCTGAGGGGAGCAGCGGGGAGACAGGAGAGGTCTGCTGTGCCACGTGGGTAGCTCCCTGGCCAGGGCTCGAACTCGTGCTGCCGTGACTGGCGGCAGCTTGATCGCGCTGTCTTTCACCCCTGCGCCATCAAATCAATTCTTCAAGTGACCAGACCAAGCCTTCACCAGTCAGCGTGGCTCATCCTGGGTGTCACTGGCAGAAGTGGAGGTCAGCTCAAGGGCAAGTTACAGGTGGGCGGGATATCATCTCCCCTAAATAAAGGAGACAGTGAACGGAGTTAAGAAAAAACTCATCTTCCAGAAAATTGAGAAAACAAATGTTCCAAAAACATTTTAGGAGGCCAAATTACTCTGATACCAAACACAGAAAACCCCTTCAACTACACACCGGCCTCCCCAGTGAACACAGAGGCAAAAATCCTCAATAAAATCTTGACAAGCCAAAGAAAGCATCACACAGACGACCCGCTCTGACCATGTGGGATTCACACCAGGACACGAGGTTGGCTCAGCATCTGAACATGAATGTAATTCACCACATCAACAAAGAGAAAGATACAAACCATAGGATCAGGACAACAGATGCAGAGACATCATTTGATAAGATTCAGCATGCACTTATGATAATAAAAAAAAAAAACCTTGGAAAACTGGAGGGAAATGTGATATATCTAAACATAACAAGAGCCATATAGGACAGGCCACGCTAACCACTCTTAATGGTGAGAAGCTGGAAGCTTTTCCACTAAGATCTGGTGCAAGACAAACATGGTGTTAAAAGTCCTAGCTAGAGCAATGAGGCAAGAGAGGGAGATAAAAGGAATCCAAACTGGGAAAAAGAAAGTAAAACTATCATTATTTGTAACAATGTGATAATATACACACAAAGCCCTGAAGAGTCTACTGAAAACCTCATTGAAATAATGAGTGGCAGGGCCTCCCTGGTGTGCAAAGGGTTAAGACACAACCTATGAAGCTGTCTGCAGTCACTGCAGCACCAGTTCGATCCCCGGCCAGGGAGCTATCCACATGGCGCAGCAGACCTCTCCTGTCTCCCCGCAGCTCCCCTCAGCAGTGGATTTTAGTAGATCGTCCTGTTCTGTCCCCACTCTGTCTCTGGTGAATCCTCTCACCCCACACACACACCTCTGGCCTGTACCCCAGTTCTTATATGCATAAATAAATGAATCTTTAAAAAAATAAAGAAATAAGTGGCAGGTTACAAAATCAGTGCAGAAAAATAATTGCCTTTCTCTATGCAGACACTGAGCTAGCAGAGGGGGAATTAAGAAAATGATCCCATTTACAATCACACCAAAATAAAAAAAAAAATTAAAAACCAGGAGTAAACCTAACAAAGAAAGTGATGGACCGCTGCAAAGAAAACTTATAAAACAGCATTGAAAGACATAGAAGAAGACACAAAGAAATGGAGACGTGGGAAGCTAGTCCCTGCTCATGAACTGAAGAATCGACATTGTCAAAACGGCCAACCTAAATCTGCATCTTCAACCCCAGCCCGATAAAAAGTCCAATGGCTTCTCCAGAGAAACACACAGACTCACGTAATGTGACGGCAGAACTGAGGCCCCCAGAGTGGGCAGTGGGATGGGGAGCAAAGTGGGGAGGGGCCCAGAGGAACATGGTAAGGCCTAGCCTGCAGAAGGTGACCTTCGGACCCCCCACAAGCCTCTCGGGGGGACCCTCAGCTGATCCTTGCTGAGATGCAGAGAACACGATTAGCTTCCTCCGGTACCTGAAGTTAAGAGACGAGGCCACACGTGTTATCACCACTAACGCACAAGCGTGGGCCTGGGGGGTAAGGAGCCTCACTGGGTCGTGGGGGGTGCTCATCTCCTCCCCACTGCTGAGACGCGAATGCGGCCTCAGCGCAGCTGCAGGTTGTCAAGTCAGCCTCCGATTTTAAAACGGAATTTAAGCGCCAGGTGAAGCACCCAGGGCCCCTGGCCAGGCCCTGCACGTTATCTAGTAACACGCGGCCCCAGACGCCTGATGAGTTATAAGGTCGGGACCGTGCAAGTGGCAGCGCCGGGTGGGGACAAGGCATGAGCCTCAGGGCAGACAAAGCTGGACCCAGCCCAGGAGGGAGGCAGGATGGTGACCCCCCAGCCCCTCCCACCTCCTGACCATCTGAGCAGGTGGGTCCAGCGCCAGTTGCCCTTTTCTCGCCACCGCCTGCCTCTAGATCCCATCGGTCCCTCTGGGTCCCCTTCGGGAGCTTCCCCCACCCCTGCTTTCTGCTCTGGGGCCTGTCGGGGAGGCTCTCGGCTGCCACCTGCTGGCCCTCCTCAGTGCGCCTTCAGGGAGTCCCCACAGAGCCGCTCCCAGGACAGTTGCATTTAAGGGGGTATCTCCCCCACCCCACCCCTCCACCCCCACACAAATCATAAATAAATAAATAAACCCCTATAGAGCAACATGTCTTGTGAATATGGACGCATAAATCCTCAACAAAATATGAGCACACCAGATCCATCTACACCATGAAAAAGCGGGATTCATCCCAGGAATGAATGCAGGGTGGATTTAACACCTTAAAATTTTTAATGCAGGGCCTCCCTGGTGGCACTGTTGAGCGACGGCTGTGAAGCTGTCTGCAGCCTCTGCGGCTCAGGTTTGAGCCCCGCCTGCCAGGGAGCTACCCACATGGCCCAGCAGACCTCTCCTGTCTCCCCGCTGCTCCCCTCAGCAGTGGATTTCAGTAAATCCTCCTGTTCTGCTCCCCACTCTGTCTCTGCTGAATCCTCTCACCCTCCCGCATGTCTGGCCTGTACCCTGGTTCTTGTATAAATAATCTTTTTTTAAAAATTTAATACAATACACACATCAATAGAATAAATACCGAAATGCACCCCGTCCTCTCTCTCGACAGGGAGCAAGACTTTGACCAATCCTGGGCTCTCTCCTAACACCCCAGAAACTGGGTAAAAGGGGCTGGCCTTGGCCTGAAAACAAACTTCTACCAAAAAACTGCCAACTGGATCTCGGGGGCGCTGACCCCCGAATGGGGGCCCCTTTCACTGTGGAGGTGGTTGAGGGCCACCCCCTGCAGTCTCCCCAGCTGTCTCCTCCTAGGGTCCCCCAGAAAGTCTCCTTCCATTTCCCCTGGGCACACTCTCCCCGGCCTCCGCACAGTCCGGCTCACGGAGGCCATGGCCGGGGCGCGAGGGCTGAGCCGCTGTCCCCGAGCCCCGGGGGGGGGGGGTGAGATGTCATCGTCCCGGGGGAGCAGGAGGCTCGGGGCGCAGGAGGCCGGAGCGGGCGGGGCGCAGAGCCGGGCTGAGAGCCGCGGGCCAGGGGGCACCGAGGCCCGCCGAGCCCGCCCGCTGCAGGCCGGGGCCTCCCTCCCCGCGCGGAGCCGGGTCGAGGATGTTGCCCGAGACGGGGAGAAGCCCGGCGGGTCACGGCGTCTCCCCGCGCGTGGCCGCGCGGACCTGGGGCCTCGGCGACGACTCCGGTGCCGAAGCTCTTCTCGCGCTGCGTGTTTCTGTTCTCCAAGTGTGACTCGTCGCCCCAAGCTCGAGGAGCCCTGCGCGGGGGTGTGGGGGCGCGGGGGGACCATCAGTCTGCACACGCCCGCGGGGGGCGGGGGGCACAGCGGACCCGCCCGGTCTCCCCCAGGCGCGCGTTCCTCGGGAGGCCTGTGGCGCCGCCTGGCGGGGGTTCCGGGCGCGGCGCCAGGAGACGGATGGGACGCACCCCGCGCGCCCCAGGTGCCAACCCCGCGGGGATCCGGTGGTGCCCACACCACCGCGGGCCGATCCACCAGCGAAGCCCGGGCCCGGTCGGCCGGGAGGGCTCGGCCACGCCTGATCCGAGCCTGGGGTGTTTTCCAGACCTTCGCCCGCAAATGCCCGCCTGAGCGAGGCGCGCCGTGGGTGCGGGCGCCCCACCGCGCTCTTTCCCAGGCTCACCTCGCGCCTCGGTGCGCGCTGCAGCCGATCTCCGCCGCCCCCCACCACAGAGCCCCCCCAGCCCTGCCCCACGTCCCAAGGCGGCGCTCTCCGCTGACCCCAGCCTCCCGCAGCGCCGCCACACCCCACCCTGCTGCTGTGTGCACCCCTCCGACCTCCCCTACGGGGTCCCCAGAACCGCCGCTGTGAGTGTGCTTAGAGGCCATGGCTTCGCAGGGACGCCGGGGAGCTGGAGCCCGGGAGCTGTGCTCAGCGCCGACTGCGGCCTCGGGCCTCTCCCCGCCTGCATCCGATGCCTCAGCTTCTCCCTCTCAGCCCCGGTGACCTGCCCGTGCCTGGTGACCTGCCCGCGCCCGGCCCCTGCTGCACTTCCAGGGCACGCCTGGCTCCTCTGACTCCCTGCGTCTGGCCGTGCCTGGCTCCACACCCGGCCCTGGCCCTGGCCAGGCCAAGAGTCTCGC